ATACATGACAATATTTTTGTCATATACGCAATGCGCAGTTGAAAATAAGTTGGTTCAATGACCTGAATCTATTGCAAACTGATCATTTCTCTCTAGATGATTTACTATTTCCAAAAAAATACAATGCCAATTTCACAAATCGCTAAAAAAGCATTAGAGGAAACAAATTCTTGACTTAAACTTTTATGTTTCACACATTAAAGTACTGGATTTAGAGACGTTTTTTTTTATTGATAATTTTATTCTGCAATCTGTATATATATTACATTAAGCAGAGAATGATGACAAGTTGTTTACAAATTTGTAAATACCCCAACCCCCCCCAGTGGCGTATAATAAAAAAACTAAAAAACCAAAAGGAAAAAACAATAAAATGTAGTTAAATGAAAGTATTATAGTTTAATTAAACTAATTAGTGTCCCAAATGTTTTTCTTTTAAGTCTGGTCGGCTGGCTTCCTAGTAAAACGGCATGCTAGTTGGTTAGAATGGACGTCTATTCTGCTCTTATAATTAATGGCAACCATTGATTATGTTCTTGAATTGTAGGTATGTCTTTGTGGAGGATTCATGTTGACGTGTAGCGAAGAGCGTTTGATATTTGCCGCACGTTTGTATTATGCTTAAATGTTCTTTTTAGCAGTGACCCAAAGTTGAAAACCGTAGGTCCACACGGGTTCATCACCGCCTATATATAAGTAATTTGTTGTATGTTGATAATTCGGATTTTTCTGTTTAAGAACCAATAATAATTTTAGAAAATTAGATCTATCTGTGGTTTTGTTCTTTATGTATATTTTCCAGTTCAGTTTCCTGTCTATGTGAATGACGAGATACTTTATTGATTCTTTGAGCGGAAATATAGAGACTTAACATGAAATTGGTGTTTAATTTTAGCATTCCTATTTATGGTCTGTTTTTTCAAAATTTATTTAATGCAATACTTAAGCTAAAATAAAGATTTATATTAGGTTGTAACTTACTAAGCTTTTTCTTTTTGTCAATAAATTATAGCAAATTTTTGTACATATGATTACATTTGGTTCTCCATAAAGCCATTTTCTTAATGAATCTACTTAGCTAGTTGACATTTTGTTAACTCGGAACGAAAATATATCTATATTTAATATATATTTTTTTGTTAAATCTTTTTAGTTAGTAGGTTGGCAACAAGTAAGTGCGCATTTTTTTTTGAAAAATCAAGGACAATTTTTGCGTGGAATTAAATAACTTTGCTCTGTATACCATTTTGATCGATGACCTTTTGTAATTTCCAAGAAGGATCATTATCCCATTTATAAAACTTCTAGTTTCTATTAGCAAAAACTGAATTATGTATAATTTGACACCATCATGATTTTTTTTTAATTCAAGGGTTTTAAACAGATGGTTTGTAGTCAGAATATTTGGTGGATGTGGGAGAAAATTTCAACCCACCCCCATAATTTTAAACATAACCAAATTTTTCTATTAGCCGAATCGATTATTGCTTTAATTAGGTAACTGGACGATCAGAGCAGCATTGAGTGGAAAGTCACCAGAATGACATTTTCAAAATCAATTTTAACATTTGTGTTTTTTTTAAGGCTTCGACACATAACAGCATCTATTCTTCGGGAGGATCGTTTTAACCCTTTGCAGAAATAAAATGCAAAATTTGACTAAAATGTTTGTTTTGATATTCCATCTTTCAACAAACGCTAAACGACAACTACATAACCGATCAAAAAGTATTTTTACTAATCTACAGCTAAATTTCTCACTATACAATAAAAAAAAGTGTTTTACATGTAGACTACTTCAACAAACCCAAAGAATCATTTGAAGCAATCTAAGAGTAAAAACTGCACTTAGTTGCCACCCTATACTATTTAATGATAAATTGAAAATTAGTTTGTTTCAAATTAATTCCCATCTTTAGCCATAGTTATTGACAGTGAGTAAAAAACTCATGTCATATTTACGCCTTGTATAAAACTCTGTTCGCATAAAGCTTGGCAATTAACTTTAGTATTAAATATCACTTCTCTTGTGCACATTTCAAGACGAGTCTTGTCACAGACTTAAATAAAGCACAAGCAGTCAGAAACTTAATTTACCTAATTTTTTGGTAATTTTCATAAATTGGAATTAGAAGTTAAAATAATTAGTGAAGGACTATTCGAACCTAAAGAATTTTGCATTGCGCAACATTATTTTTCATAATGTTTAGTTTTATATAAGCAGTTTATCGCATATATCATTTTCAGATTATAATGGGTCGTTGTATTTTTATTATAAAGTAACGAGAAATATTCAAATTCAAGCTATTCTTTTTTAAAAGTCAGGTACACCCGACAGAAAAAACAAACTCCGGCACCAGAAAAGCAAGGTTGAATACTAGACTGTACCGGCCAAACCGGGACACCTTACTATGAGTTAAATCTAAGAAGCATTTTTTTTTGTTAACTGTTTTACCGATACTATACAACATTACATTAAAATCACCAAAAATTTTCAAATTGCCCCCCTGAATTTACAAATTGCCGTCCGATGGGGCGTGCGCCCCACGTTGGGAAACAGTGATTTAGCGTATATTGATAAGTGAAATAAAATAAGCATTTTTTATAAAAACTGTTACGCAGAAGTGAAACGTAACACTAGAAATTAATGGCCCGATTCCGCCGCACAACAGACCAATGTTATGGCAAGGCCATGTTACGCTCCAACTTCCATACATTATGCTACTGAATCATACTGAATACTGTCAAAATGTCATATATTTGCTGTGCATTCAGGCGTTTTACAGATAAACTGCAACGTCACTTGTATGTTATGAAGCTGGATCAGAAAGACCCTGTTATCTAAAATCGTTTTTTTGACATTTGTGAGGTTTCTAGGTTAGGTTTTCTATCTGACAACCTGAGAAAAATGCCTGAATGCACAGCAATCACATGGCTTTTGTCAATATTTAGTATGGAAAGTTCTTCATAACATAGACTTGCCATAACATTGGTCTGTTGTGCGGCAGAATCGGTCCATAAATCTCATTAAATATAGAAGATTTCATTTTGTTATAACTTACGAGTCAAGTGTTTCTTCGTTGATGTCCTGCTTTTCAAATTTGATGACGTCTTGGAAGCTCCTGGCATACCAGGCGCTGACCAGGTCAACGCTGGGCATGCTCAGCAGTCTCTCCGGCAGGAGGGCGATCTCCTTCATTATGTTCGCCAGCCGCACTGGCAATTCCTTGCGCAAAAAAACAAAGGATTTGCGCTCGCATGCACTTAACCCTAACAAGATAAAGTATGAAAATAGATTAATCATCTAAATTATAATACAAACAGTGATTTGTTTATTAATTTGCCGTGGGATGAGTTATGGTAATCGCAAAATAAATCAAAAATGAAAATTTTATGTATCTTTAAGTTTCAAAGGTTTCTTGAACATTTTGGCATACCTTAGAAAAAATAGATGTATGTGTGTGTATTAAGTGTGTGTGCGGATACAAATGTTAATTATTTCGGAAACACGGATTGAATTATTCAAAAAGCATTTGATTTATATTGATAAATAGACGTGCTTAATAATTTTTGGTCGGGGCAGAATCGGGGCAAAAAGTGTCAAAAATAGTAATTTAATTTATGAGATAACGGAACGTCCGATTTCAATAATTTAAAAAACATGTTACTTGTATTGACAAATTAAATTTTTGGAGAGGCATGTCTATCGGTTTCGGAGATCGAGCGAAAAAAAATTAAAAAACGCCATTTGGCGGTCAAAAATGATCATTAGAATTATGCACATCAAATTATTAGATATTTTATAAAGATTGTAAGAATAAGTATAAATGTTTACATTTCTATGTGTTTCGTATCAATGTATTTCCGTTAGACTGCGTTAAAATTACTAAACAATTGTTCAAATTGTTTTTCATCTGCACCAATACAATGCCTCATTCCATTTCAATTTTTCATTATATACTCCATTCTTTAATTACTATTTTTTATTATATCTTATATCAATTATATTATTCTTATATAATTTCCTCTCTTTTATAATTTTATTAAAGTCTACTAATTATTATTTTTTCTTAAGTATATTTTTTTGGTTTGTTTATCGCTAATTAAGATGATTATCGATAAACAAACCAAAGCGTTTCTTGACAGATGTCCTGAAGATGGAACGTACTTATTTCCAAAACGTCGAAAATAAATAAAAATCTGTTTATAAATAAAAATATTTTTTGGTATTACATATATACATATATATATATATATATATATATATATATATATATATTTTATTTATTTTCATCTAAACTACAACTGCCTGAGAAGGCGTTCAGTAATTGTTGTGATTAGTTATTAAATAAGCTTTTAAAATACTACCCATTGGTAGTATATGTATATATATAAATTATTAAGTTATTGTTATATATATATATATATATAATTGTAAGACGAATATATTATGTATATGCTCTGACAATGCGTCATCCTTTTAAAGTAACTGTAATGAAATAAATTATAAATAATGTGAATGCATAAGCTGATAAAAGACCTTGAATAAATTATGGGGATATAGAGTTCTCAATTTTAGTCAATTTTGATTGCGTGTTCAAATTAAAAAACAAAATCGTATCATAAAATGTTACATAAAATAATAAAATATATATGTATTATGAATATATATATATATATATATATATATATATATATATATTAGTATATATATATAGTATAGTAAGTATATATATATATATATATATATATATATATATATAAATTGATGTACATGTGTGTCTTTGGATACAAATTTTTGTCGACGATTTCGTGAACACAGATCATCCGATTTGGCAGATCCAGCCGTTTTGATGATACATGTGGCAAAAAATGCTAAAAATCGTAATTCAATTTTTGAGAGATCCGTTCTCTCAAATTCGAATCGAATGATTCAAAAAACATTTTAATTGTATTGGCGGTCCAGGGGATTCAAAGAGCCAATAAAAAAAGTAAAATAAAATGCCATTTTGGGGACAAAAATGATCATTAGACATATGCACACCAAATTATCTGGAATTTTATAGAGATTTTAATAATAAGTACAAACTTTGTTTAAATCTCTATGGTATTACTATTTAATTTTTTAGATTAAGTCGCGGCGCTTACGCTTCGTCTCTAAAACAGCTACTCGGTGCGATTGCTATGAAAAAAAATTCAAAATTTTTAAAATACAATAAAAATTCAAATTAATCAAAAAGTCAATTTTTTTTTCTAAGATCTCAAAATTCTCAAAAATCTGATTTTTTCAAAGTTTTCAAAAAAAATTTGAAGCTTTTTCAAAGAATTTTAAACTTCGGTACAGAAAGTTTCAGGAATCTGCCTTAATGCGTGATGCCATGCACCACTAGTTTTCTTTTATCATTATACATAAAAGATTTACTACTGTCTGTATGAACATTCAGTCAATATAATGGCTCATGCTAATTGGTATAAGGGCTGTAATTGATTAAGATTGTTTATGGAAGTAACCAGTGTTACTTCCACTTTACTATAGGAACTTAGATTGTGGTGGGTGCATATTAGCATATGACTCTATAAACTCAATGCACCACTAGTTGAATGCATTTTATAGTGTTCATTTTTCAATTGGTCTATTTGTACTAGGTTTGATATTATATTTTTCGTTTCGCTTTGTATCTCATAAACGGTTTCCGCTGACATTGGCCTTGAGCCCAGACATAATTTTTCATATGAATAATACATTAAGTCGTAACATTATTAAAACAAAAACAACATATTGTATGTAGCAACACAAAGACGGCATTTAAACGAAGAAAATCAAGTGCGAGGAATTGAGCACGTATACTAAATCCAAATTTAATGAAATTTGGAACAAAAATAAATATATTATGAAATATTGATTTTCATTATTATTATCCGGGATTTTCTGTCTTTTTCAGTTCATTTTTTTTTTCACAGTGCAGGGCGGGGTACAAAGGTCCAATTTGGCTTATATCAATTACAATAATACCCCGTTTAACGCCGTATCGTTTAGCGCTCTTTTATTTTAACAGGAAGATGTCGAAGAAATAATTCAAGAAGCAGCGCAGTCTTACTAATGGCGAGCTCAAGGAATTAACTGAGCAAGAAGAAAACAAAAATGTTGACGGCAGTGATTCAGCGAAAGAGCAAAATTTCGATGATGTTTGTAAAAAAGAATTTGTCTACCATAACTGAAATAGTGGATCAATTCATCGAAAATTATCCAAATTTTGAGAGAAGCTCGAAACTAAGGCGAGATGTCAGAGATGCTCTATCCGTTTATGAAGAACTTTTAAAAGGACAATGCAAAAGAAAAAACTAACTAAATATGACTGACTGACTTAGAATTTTATTTGTTTTTTTTTCAAGAATATTCGTTTTGTTATCTATATTTTGTTTTTATTTTTGCAAGAAATCATAATGTGGTACTAATTTGGGCTTTAAGAAATAAATGTTTGGTTTTATTTTTAGTAAAAAAAACATACTTTTTAAATTTAATACCGGACCAATTTCCTAGCCGCCTTCCCCTAACCCCAATATTTCCATGTAAAGATAGCCTCGTTTTGACGCTGTTTCGCATTGCGCTCTACTTTGATGGAACGTATTCTCCGAACGTATCACTGAAAAACTATATTTTTTCAAATAGGTGAGGTAAAATGGTACAGTCAGAGTGCAAGAAGATCCACCATTTTATTATAAAATTTCAAAAATCATTTATTAAATAATAGCTAGATTATTTAAAGAACGAGACAACGCGACGTAATTTAATTATTAGGTTGAAAAAACAAAGCTTAAAATCATAATCTAAATATCTATTTTTAAATATAATAAATATAAAAAATTATCAACTCTTATTACTATTATAAATCTTGAGTATAAGTATTTCTGTTTGATTTATCATAATCAGACTCATTGTCTCTTGAAATACAATTATCACAAATAAAGTGAATTCAAATTTAGTTTAAAATACATATTTTGGACACATTTTTTATTAAGATTGCAGTGGATACAACCTTCATATGGAACTTTGTCAGTGGAATTCGTCATCAGAGATGGAATAACTATTAATTTAATTTATCTTTTGTCAAATTGCTTTATTTAACTTATTTTCCATTTTTATTCACTAGTTTCTTAATGTTTACACCTCACCAATATAAAAGATTAGGTCAGTGGTTCTCAACCTTTTATGCATCGTGCACCCCCTGCTCTAAAAAAATGTAGCGCCCCATTTAACTTTTGCAACAATTTAATTTTATAAATACTCAACTGATATCAGACAAACTAATATGAATTACAAATTATTTGTTGTTTATTTTTTAACAATATTTCAAAAATTTTGGATTATTTTTGAAAATAGTATTCTGGAAACAGATGTACGGGTCTCCCTTAGAACAGCCTGGAAACAGGTTGAAAACCGCTGAATTAGGTGGTCCATTTTACTCCAACCACAAGTAAGCTATTCTAGAAATTACATAAATAAAGGTTGATTCTAACTTGAAAATACACATATTTTTTTCAATTTTGGTGTCAAACAATTCAGGTTGACTTCCAACGCGCAAGAAATATAAAATAACCAAATCAAATTTTATGACTAACGACTAACTGAAACAATAAAACTCGATGAATAACCAAACAAATGAATATTATATTCATTCTTTATTTCTATATAATACTTTAGTTACTTCTTTACTTTTAATCATTGTCGATGTTATCTTTAAAAAAAAATGCAAGTTCAAAATCCTACACGAAACTTTGCCCGATATACATTTAATTGTTTTTGTATTGGCACCGAGTCAAAATGAAGTGGGAGAGATGAATCGAGTTTTCAGTAAAATTTCGTCAGATGATTCAAGGTACAATATGGAATATAAGTTAAACTGCAAACACAACTGTGTTGATATATTGATTCAGAATTCAACTAAATTGCGTGTATGTTCGTGTGTGTGTGTGCGAATACAATTTTTCGTCGACGATTTCGGGATTATCCGGGAATCAACCGATTTGATTAAAAAAAAATCGATTCCTATTGATGGGGAGATGTGCTGATTATTGTTATTGGCCAAGGCAGTTATTGGCCAAGGCAGGACCAGCCATTTCGGAGATTCGGGACAAAAAGTGCCAAAAATTGCAATTCAATTTTTGAGAGAACGGAGCTTCTGATTTGAACGATTCAAAAAACAATTTACCTTACCCTTTGTCCTTACAAGACAAAATGAAGAATAATTAAATTTTTGGGTAGGCAGTGA